GACCCCTTTCCCTTTTGGTTTAAAGTGTAAACTGAACTGAGTCTTCAAAGTTCGTCAGTTACTTTGCATGTGATATCAAGGGTGACTGAGGTCTTCCAAATCTCTTTGGACACTCGAATATAGACTTTGGGGAACGTGTATTCACGTTTGGTTACATCGTTAATGTATTTACTTACAGCATATTTCCCATGAAAGTTCAGACATGAGACCGACTGAGACACGGCTACTATTTTTGGCTCCTCTTCAAGTATTGTAGTCTCTTGATAGGGTTATTTGGTCAAAGTGCGCTACCAAAAAATGCAATTGTTTCCATATTCAACATCAAATGACGAATTAGCCACCATCCGTCTGCCTGCACAAGACTCACTCACTATGATGCCGGACGCCACGGACTGCATCAATTAATTCATATATTATACTACTACTACTAGTAATAATAATAATAATAATAATTAGTTGATTTCTTTGCAATAAATTTTTAAATGCATATTTTAAATTCACAAAAAATTCACCCACTTTGTGAATTTCTAACAGACGATATATTTGCTAGGGAAAAGAAGAATAAGACATTGTCTTTTCAGTAACTTGTGAGCTGATGAATTATCGAGAAGTAACTTCCACAAAAATGCTACAGCAAAAATTTTCGCCACATAGGATATGGGGCTGCCCCTGCTAGGATTTGGGAGTCTATCAGCTCACTGTACGTCACTGACAGGTTGTCGGTAAAATTTCCTTGAGATAGTGGGGCAGTAAAGGTACCCAATAGAGGCCATATGCGTTATGTTATTTAATACTACAAAAAACAAAAACAAAAAAAATCAAACAAAAAAAACAACAAAATACAAAAAAACAAAAACAAAACCAAAACAAAAACAATCTTTCTCCTGTTGAAAAGACGGCTAATTTAATTCTAGTAAGAGACATGGACAGTGCTTTTTTGGAGTATTGACCTGAAGAAATCTGTGGAAGGTAGCGTGACAACCAACTTGATCCACTAAGGAATAACGACCGTGTTTGCCAAGCACCATTTCGAGCCACATACTTAAACAAATATAGTGTCGTAATTATGTCCCAAATGAATTGCCTTACATGCCTGTAACGCTTTTGCTATAGGGCAGGTGAAAGGGAATTGGATTCTTTAGTAAAAAGTGAACACAATAGTTCGAGTTTGCTTCACCCAGTTCGTTTTCTACACTGATAACTGTTATGCTACTCTGATAAACATGAAATATTTTCTCAGTATCCGTTGACCAATATTTTAAATGCCTACTATTTGGCAAAAAAAAAACTAGACAAAAACAATTGTGAATATGCTTTCATGGGTGTCTGACCGCACATGGTCAAGACGCAAATCCTTTAAGGTTATATCTTCGCAGGCGAATGAAGAAAAAATATTTGTACGTGGGCGGATTGCAACGCCCACTTGTATGTTTATTGACCAATTAGAAGCTGATATTTCCTGAAAATCTGTATGAAGCTGGGTAAGCTTTTGATCCCCTTTTTGCACAGATTTGTACAAAATTCAACATTGATAAGAAAGTGGTAGCGGGATGCTAAACAACTGTCTCAAGTCTTTGAATCTCGGTGGGTTAAATTTCATCTTCTCTTTGTGCGGTCAGACACCCATGAAAGCATATTCACGCATACACGTACGTACGGAATTTTCCAAACTACTTTACAAGCATAGAAAACATTTTCAAACAAACAAGAACTTTTCTCTTTGAAATACTCTTCTAAAGCCCAAAAGTTTATTCAGCATTTCTCAGCTTTATAATTTATTCAACTTTTGTGAACTCAGATAAAAATATTTCAATCTCATCAGTAAAACTTTAAATCAGTCAAAGGGACATAACACCAACAAAATATTAACCTCTATGCATGTACATCATTACACAAAAATAAATATAAATGTTGTTATTATAAAACCGATTTTGTTCCTTCTTGTGTTTCATATTTTGTGGTATTTTGCGTTAAATATAAATCGTGTGGTCATGTTAATAAACAAACATATACAAATGGTCATAAATAGTACCATACCACTACAGTTGCACATATTTTATCCTTTCTTGTAAGATGTAAGTTAAGTGAGAAAAATTGAATTCAACGAAACAAATTTCAATAAAATTGTCTTTAATATTAAAGGCAAAACAATATTTACACGCAGGTATCTATTTACACAAATGTTAATAGCAGAAACATTGAATGACAGAAATGATGATGAAACATAAAAGGTGGCCATTGGAGCGACGCTTTTCGTCAAGTGTGAAACAAAAGAAACGAGAGACTTGTTTGTCTCGTTTCGATGATTTTACTGATAGGCCAATATGGTTTACGTCATCGATGACGTTAACATCTTATCACAGGATCAATTTCATAACGACCGAAATTAAAAGCTATTTTTTTTTTTTTTTTTTGCCGACGGGCATTGCAAATAATTATAAAGTCCACAGCCAAACCAATTGAAGTACACGTCGTCAAAATGAGTGTGAAATGCAAGCAATATTTCTCAGAAGATTGAAGTGGGATTGTTTTTAAAGATGTGATGAAGGGAGGGACAAAATTAAAAATTTATATTTACAGGAATTTGACGCCAAAAGCGGGGAGTCGGTTGCAAATGTGTATTTGTGCACGCTTATAAATGTGTGTATATCTGTTTATGTGTCTATATATCTTTTATTAGTGAACATAATTATAGTATATTATATATATTATTTTATATATATATATATATATATATATATATATATATATATATATATATATATATATTATATATATTATATATATATATTACATATATATTATATATATATATTATATATATTATTTTATATATATATATATTATATATATTTTATGAATATAATATATTATATATATTATATAATTATATATATATAATATAATTATAAAATATTTTTGTTCTGCTTCTCCTTTTCTTTCTAAATATGAATGTGCATGTGTGTGCATATGTGTAAGTAAATGTGTATGAGTAAGTAAATATGAATGCGTATGTATGTGCGTAGATGTGAGGAGATATGAATGTGTGCTTGCGTATGTGTAAGTAAATATGAATGTGTATGCGTGCATATATGGGATTAAATATGAAAGTGTGTGTGCATTTGTGTAATATGAATGTGTGTGTGAGAGAGTATGTGTAAGTAATCACCTATGACAGGGAAACGTTTAGGTATCTCGCCTTGTCAGGCAATATCATTTCGAACTTTATGAGGGGCTTTTTGCTATTGTGGCCTTGTACCAGACTAGGCTAAAATATGTAAAGACTTACTAAACGCTTCTCACTAGGGGAGTGATAGCTCTCTCAACATTTTGCTAAGGTATTTCACTAATAATAGCTGAATTTTGTAGAGTTCTGATTAGGTGCTCTATAATCTTGAGCCAGATAAAACTAATATTAATAAATGCCTGTTCTTCATATTCTTGTGCAAATATTGAGATTCCAAGAACGACTCAGTTGATATTTTGTTAACGACAGTTTGCGAAAGATCATTTCCCAAAATGAACCCTTTTCAAACTGCAGGGAAATAGCCGGTGGATAAAATTAATTCTTAATGAAATGGTTTCCTTTATTTGCAAATTCAAGCTTTGTGTTTACCCGTATCTATATGAACAGCAATTGTATTAGTATCAATAAACATTTATCGTCATTCTCAGGAATTGTTTATTTTGTATGTTGGGACAAAGAGAGAGAGAGGGAGAAGGAGAGAGAGAGAGAGAGAGTTCATTTTCGCCTCTGTGACTTAATGAAAAGAAACGCAAGAACTGCCCAAATGCAGAGTGTTTCAAAAGTCTATGTCACATTTTAAGAACTCTTATATCATGAACTACAAATGGTAGCCTGATTAAATTGGCATCATTTAAAAGCTAAGAGTGTCAGGTTTTCTTCTGTTAATTTCATTTTAATTTAATTTTTGAATATCATTCTGCCTGACACATGAGTCAGATGTTCCTCCAGACTTCACGCTATGTGACTTCTAACACTGTGGGTATGTGAAAGGCCTCGTGTACGTACATTCCCTTCCCAGGGACGTGGATGATTTGAAGACGCGAATAACTGAAGCCTTGGCAACCATCGACAGCGCTATACTTGGTCGCATTTGGCAAGAACTGAATTATCTTTTGGGTGTGTATCGTGTAACCCGCGGTGGTCACATTGAACACCTGCAAAAAACCTGTATAGAAACGTGGAAATATTAGCTTTCAGAAAATATAAATTGTGTTTTGATATCCTCAATAGTTATGAAGGTAAACTTTTTCTGCTTCAATAGACAGAGAGAGTCAAGAAGTCATTTCTTTCGCTAGTCTAATATGAGTATTCATAAGATTGTGCATACATAATTTTTGTACCTTAGCTTAGCCTAACACAAGGTCACATTAGATGGCTGAATGCGGATCGATTTCATATACTAGTTAATGGTCGTTTTGATTGCTATCTATTTATTTATTTATCTATTTATGCCTGTTCATTATCTGTCTATCTGGTAATTCATAATAGTACAATATAAACTGCAAGTTCAATCTTTTTAATTTACTTAGAACACAAAATGGTGCCTTTATTTTGTAGATTCCGGGCCAGATTAAAAACAAACAATATGATATGTGTAAGAAAATACATCAAAAAAACATCTATCATAAAGCACATGGAGCTAACAACATAAGTTGTCTACATTATCAGCGTGTGTGTGTGTGTGTGTGTGTGTGTGTGTGTGTGTTTGTGCGTGTGTGTAAATTACATAAAATGCTGTCAATTTGAAAATTGACAGTTTTTATATAATTTACACAAGAGAATAGAATTAATCGAACAATCATTCAACAGCCTGTCCATAGGTTAGCAGACATATTTCAGCAAATAATTTGGGACTGTATGATTTAGGAATTCCGAAGTGAGACGTTGGATCCCGAAGAAATCCGATCAATCATCAAAAAAGCTGATGATTGCTTCTTTACTTGTTGATATCTTTTCACAAGCGTTTTCATTTTTATATCTAAAAAAAAATAAAACAAAATATATTTTAATAAAATCTTAATTAACTTTCACTTAGACATGATTATTTTTTCCTGTTTTTATCAATTCATTTCAAACTTTGATTAATCAAATCAAGACATTTGAATTCGGAGATTAACAGTCAAATATGTTGATAAATGAATGCATTTTTTTTCATTTGTTTCATCTAATTCCTTTTTTCAAGAATATATTTTCTTCTTATAATGTAATACCAATTATCACAGCCTGCACAACTGAAGACATGGGAATGTGACGGCATGAAATCTATTATTTATTTTCGTATTTTTCCTCTCATTCTGAATACTAAACAATACTGACCGACAGAGAATATTTTTATTCTATAGAAGTCTGTCATTCTGTCCTTAATTATCCAAACGATTATCCTCCTTTCTTTGTTTTCATCTTTGCATATCAGTTCATACATTTTTTCACGGGTATCGCCCAGTAACTTTCACTTTCACAAATGGAACGACAAGGTGTTAAAATGTGCTGAGCTCACGAGAAAATCTTCGAGACAGATTATATATAGTTTAAAATGCGCGATATTTACGGAAGAAGAATGTACAATATCGTGGATAGCGCTTGAGATATAAACAGTGTGGAAATTTACATTTGAACATTGCATTTTTATAGATATAGCGTGGGCATAGAAATCAACGTGGTCTCAGTTACACACTTTAAGTCATTTGATGATCGCTTGAAATTGACAGTTACCATTCAGTGTTAATTTCTATGTTCACACATTTTTCTTCCCTTTCTCCCTCTACTTCCCTACTTTCCCCTCTCTATACACATATATATATATATATATATATATATATATATATATATATATATATATATGAACGTATTGAGAGGGTTTGATCTAGTTTTGAATTTTCAGAAAAAAACTTTATTTCGCAATCAGCACCATCACTTGATAAGACACCAGAAGTGTTGAAACAAAATTTTTGTAGTGATGTTATAACATATTTATGTTTTAATTCTTGAATAAATACTATATATATATATATATATACACACACACATATATATATATATATATATATATATATATATATATATATATATATATATATATGTGTGTGTGTGTGTGTGTGTGTGTGTGTGAATGAAGACAAAAGGAAAAACTTATCTTAACCAATGTGTTTTGTCCTGATTAACTTTATCAAGGTAAATGTAAGGATTTTATTTTGCAACAAATATTTATAAACGGAAGTAAAATGTTGTTAGTTTTTCAACATTTTTAAATTTAAGAATGCTCAAAAATATTCATCAGGTTAATTGAAAAATCTAGGTAAACTATGGAGGATGCTAAGTGACGTTATTTAATGTCTAATAAACAAAAGTGTGTATTTTTTAAAATAATGTAGTTAATATTATATTAGTTTTGTATTAATTATGCCTGATATATTTTAAATAACAGGTTACGAATTGAATTGTTTTCTTTTAATTTTTTAATATTTTTATACTCATGTATGTTGGCTTTGGGAAAAGAGTAATTCTTTCAGGGACGGAGATATTTGAAAAGATTCAGGGTGCAGATTTATATTTTGATAGAATTCGAAGCCGGAACTTTCAAGAATTTCCCATTAAATATAGTTCTAGTAAAGACTATTTACCATGTTGGGTTTAATTCGATATTCAGGTTCCTCACAGTGTCTTTTATAAAGAAAGTGAAAATTATTGGAGAACACACATAAAAAATGACCGAATCGACTGAAACACTGGGATGAAAACAACAAAGGAAAAGATACTAATCTGAATAATTCAAGGTATAATTAAGATATTTAATCTCAGGATTTCTCAGTCGGTATACTGTCATTTTATTTGCAGCTTGTATATGATGATTTCTGTTCGGTTCAACGCTGGGAACTGAAATTTGTTTATGATAATCCAGAAAGAGATTCTTAGACAATATTTAACGTTTATAAGTCAGTAATAAGTAGACAAGGAAACACAGATGTCAAGTAAAAATGGAGAATGAATTAAAATCATTCTTTTGAATACTGATATATAAATAGGGGCATGGAGGATAATCAGTGATTTTGTACACAATGCTGAATTTTTAATTTCCGAAAGTTTCACTTTTCAACTTAGTTGTTTATGGTGGAATCCGAATCGTTTCACTAAAAGAGAATTTCTTCAGATTCTTTGTGTCTGAGAATCAACTACTTCAATTAAAAAGAGCTTTGAATGTTTTTTTTTCTTTCAATCGTTGCCCTTAGTCAGTTTATTAGATTTTATCGCATTTCCGAGAAAGTAAAGACGAAACTTATAACTGTACCTTGACGATGTGAAACCAGCCAATGTGAATCAGACGAGAGAAGAATTTCGATTTAATCTATAAGCTCCTCGCAACAGGCACCGTACAGGACATTCAAAAATCGATCGAGAAAAACACGGTTTCGAATCACACACACACAGAAGTGAAAAACATTACATCTGAAGCGGCAACTTTATCGTTTTTTGTTTTGTTTTACTCACACCAAAATGTCTTTTCAATAAAACGTTTCTAATTACGAGAAAGTAAAAAAAAAAAGAAGCTTTTGTAGTAGTTTCAATCCACGCGGTTTCAAAAAGATGGTACTGTTCCGTCTTAATTTTTTGTTTCAGTTAATTCGTGAACAAATAAAGTAAATTTGCAATTTCACGTCATAGTTTGTAGGGGAAATTTCAATTCGGTAGCATTCGGGTTGCTTGCTTACCTCTAAATAGTCGACAGAAGAGAGTTGAGGATCTGGCTACTCAAAGGAGAAATTCTTTCTATGCTAGAGTTGTACCCCTTTGCAGCAAGTCGACTTTTGTTCTTCAGTAAAAGAATCGAACAACTCGCTCCATTACAATGTTGTTGGTACTTCTACATACTTGTTTAGTTTATTTCTCTTTTTTCATGTTTATTTTTTCTCTCTAAATTTCGTCTGTTTTCATTTCAAACGGAACGGTCATTCGTCGAGAATTTCGATTGTATTCGCGTCTCTGACATTGCATTTCCTACAACGGATAGTGAGGGAAACGTCGAACAAGTTCTCAGGCCATTTTTTGTGTTATGGAACATCGACTGTTTGTCGGGCAATGATAGCTTTCCCCTCGAAGGAGAATAAAGTTCCCTTTGGTTAGAGACTTCCTCAAAATAAAACTGGTTATCTGCAGAATTAGTTGTTTGCTTTTGTAAATCTGGTTCTGGTTTCACGGTTTCTCTGTTATTATTGTTATGATTAGAACTCTTTTTTGCTGGAACGTTGTCGTCGGTAATCGAGTAACAGACACTTGGATCTTGTAAGGCGCACGGCCCAATTTCCTCTGGTTCTTGCTTGCTGACTGGAAGGTTATAATGTGATTCTTCTTTCGTACTTTTCGGGGTTTTCTTCATATCCAGATTTTCTTTTGGAAAATTTATCTTGATGCCTTTTCTTTGAACTTCACGCATGCGCCTACCCTTATAAGGAAATAAACTCTTGATGTAGTTGAACAGTTTTCGAACAATATTGCCTCGCAGTAAGATATACAGCCAGGGGTCGATAATCTGATTAATTGATGCTAATCGTACGGTGATCAAGTCACGGTCCAGCTGAATTTTGCCACTCAGTTGAGACTGGAGAATATTAACCTGAGAAGAAGAAATAAAATGTTTTGAATCAATAACTTGTCGAATCAACTAATTGATTTTTCGAAACAATAATCATAAATTCTTACATGAATTGAGTCAAGAGGCTTAGCAATTTCAACACGCCGTTTTACTTAATTCGGATGTTTACGTAAGTCGGAACTGCAAGACGTCGAGTGCCTCATTATAATGATAAACAATCTATCTACATCAAATAATCTTGAAAACAAGTTTATTCTTAAGAAAAGAGAAATTGTTGGTTATACTAAAGAATTTTGGCCATATTTTAAACTGAAGAATAAGAAGTGGAAGTGAACTGAAAATAATGTATTTGATTCAGAAAAAGACAAAAGATATAACAGAAAAAAGAGCCAGGCAAAAATAAAATATCAGAAAAATTGCTTGGTATATAAAATTTTTACTATTTCTTTTCATCTTGTTATTTTTAAGGTATTTTTTAGGTTGAATATTTTCCAGTCATAGCGTGAAGTTCGAATAATAACTTCTGGCCACAAAAATTAATAGCTAGATAAAACCCAAATCTCCACTTATATTGCTATTTTTATTATTAGTAGTAAATTTCAAATAATTTAAACTTACTTCTATTTCAATTTCCCCGATTCATTCTTTGTCTTTGATCATCACTTCCTTCATAATCGCATTTCGTAGCCATGAAATAGGCCATGGGAATTGAAAAATACGAGAACCAAGAATAACGTGGGACATTGTGCAAAATATCATCTCTATTGATTGACTTAGGAGTGAACCGAAGAAAATTTACATTTTTTAATTCTTCACCCTCAAAATTATGTATGAAAATTAGTGGCAGAGTTCTTTTTGGATAACTCAATGGGCATTCAAATGTTAACAGCATTTACAGATATTTCTTTGTATCGGCAGAACGCAGTAATTCCAGAGCCGCCTGGAAACTTTGCTAAATTGTGAGGGTGCGTAACATGTAAGAAAACCGGTGGAACAAAGAAAAAATGCAAGACGCACTATAATGACGCTACACTTTGGTGGGGGACACGTAATGGTGTGAGGTTGCATCAAAAGCAATAGTAGAAGAAAATTGATAGAAACTTAAACAGCGAAAATATATTCGTTTCGTAATGTCCAATCTGCCAGGCTACAAAGATGGAATTTTTTTTCTTCAATATAACGGTGCTCCTTGCCACGCATCACATGCAACAAAATGGTTTCTTGTGAAGGAAGATTTTCAATTTCTGATGGACTAAGTGAGCAGAAAGTCCTAATCTCAAGATAATTGAATCATTGTGGTGGGAACTGAAGAAACAAGTGCTTCACTGATTAATATATTGATTATACGAGAATTAGTTTTTAACTGTATTTGCTAAACTTAAAGCTATCTAACACAAGAACGCGAGTAGAATTCATTACATTGATTTTGATATGTGAAACTAGATTATTAAGCACTGCTCTAATAGAATTTGTATACCAGCTGCAGGTCAGTGAATGAAATAAGTGGACGGAAATTGTGTTAGACCAAAGTCCTAGCATCAAGTTTCCGTTTAGTTTCAATTTGACATTTGCTATGAGAAACATTTAAGAAGCATTTAAATATTGCACAAAAATCATCAATGTTATGTTCTAATAGATATCCAGGCAAAAATAGCAATTACTTCAAGGTTGGACTCATAGCTAAGATACTTGGGTACTTTTTATCATTTCGACCCAAGCAAGGTAATAAGGCCTCTAACATGCAAAGAGTTGTTGAGAGTGAAATAAACGGATGTCAATAAAAGAACAGGATTCAGAGAAACAGAAGATGAGGATTGTCATTGCATTTAAATTTATAGAAGATTGTAGTTGACAGGAAAATAAGAACCCGTTAGAGAGTTCCACAAGCGAGAGAAGAAACTATAAGTATAGATATAAATATGGTTACAGCTAGTAATTTTAATAGTAAAATTATGAGAGCTAGCCGCCAATCTAGTACTATGCTTAAATTCATGAAGTCGAGATGCCAAAGAGGAAAGGTCATCAGAACAATTACCATGAAGATATTTATGAATAAGCACAGGGAATTTATGCTACGGTCAATAAAAACATTTTAGGCGTATGTGAAACGATAGGTGGGCAAACAATAGAGATTTCGTCAGTGGCAAATACAGGACTATATATGATGGTGGAGAGAAAAATGAAAAAGGAGTAGGACTGACACTAGACCAAGACACGAAGAAATGTATTCTGGCATACTGATAACTATCTGAAAGAATTCTTGTGAAACCGAAAGAAAAAGCTTTCATCAAATCCATCAGTGTTGATTATGCATCGACAGCACAAAGTAGAGAAAAAGAAATCGGAAAGTTTCACTTTAGCCTAGACAACACCAAAGCTTGATACAAATCGCAAGGAATTACAATCGTCTTGTGAAATCTGAATGTCAAAGTAGGCAGTGATAGAGATGATAATATAGTTGGCAAATCCGGATTAGAAACTCGTAATGAACGCGGAGAAAAATAGGTTTAATGGTGTACGGCAAATGTTCAGGTAGTAGCCGACAGCTGGTTTCAAGAACATCCAAGATGTATAAGGACATGTTGCGGTTTCGTTCATGACACAGGAACGAGGAATGCGATATTTATGATCAGATAGATATAAGAAAGATCAATACAAATTCAGACGGATGTGTTCCTGTATTTTATAGATTATGCAAATGCATTTGATAAAGTACGTCACAAAGATCTGTTGGAACTAAAAGGTAACCTTGAAGTATGTGAGAAAGATATTTGAATAATCTAGAACCTATACTGGCAGAAAACCGCCTGCATGCGGATAGAAAATGAGTTCAGTAAATATAGAAAAATAAAAAAGGCTGTAAAACAAGGCTATGTCTTCTCGCCAAATCTTTTCAACCTATAAAGCGAGGCGATTTAGAAAGAATTAGAAGTCATACCATTATTGGCGGTTACAATCTTAACAATACAGGATATGCAGGTGACATAGTGTTGATAGGAAACTACAAGAATTACTACAGAAGGTAGTGAAGGAAAACAAGAAGAAAGGGCTACACATGTTTTGCAAGAAGATTGAATGCATGGTTGTTAGCACAAGAGACTGCTCAACATGCAAATTAGAAATTGGAGATACCGATATCAAACAAGTACAGCAATTTAGATATCTGGGAATTGTTTTAACTGAGGACGGAAAGTGCGACATGGGAATCAGAAAGTGCATTGGTAAAGCCAAAGATGTCTAAGCAATGTTAAAAACAAAGAAAAGACTAGTGAACAGATGTGTCATATCAGTCCTCCTATATAGCAAGGAAGACTGGACAATCTCCTCACAGATGAAGAGATTTGAAGCAACAGAAAAGTGGTTCTACACAAGGATGCTGGAGCCAAACATGTGAGCAACGACGAAGTTTTATAGAAACTGAAAACAAAAAGGAAGAGACAGCTGAATATTCTAGGGTACATAATGAGGAAAGATGTTTTGAAAAATCTGATACCCACACGATAGATTGAAGGCAAGAGGGACAAGAGCAAAATGACGCATAACCTCCCTAATGCGCTTGAGTAAATGGATGGCCGAACAAAAGGTTTAGGAGAGGTAACAAAAATACAAAATTTACTAAGAGCTACAAAGAACGAATATTGTGGAAAGTCATGATTGCCTACGTCCTGAAGCGACACAGCACAGAATGAAAACAAAGGCTAGAGCGATTGCTATGAATGAATACTGATATATTATTCTCTATATGAAAACAGTTAACCAGTTAAGTTCGTGTGTACAAAGACTGAAAATAATAGTATAAATATAGATGAGATTATTAGTTTTGCCTATACTGAAACTTCGTTTCTAATTTGAATCATATATATATATAAAGACACAAAATGACTAAATTGTCACACGAGTTTCAATCTTTTCGTGACAAAACTTAGTCAGCGTACACAAAATAGGATTTTGCTAAATTTTGGTAATAATCTCTCATTTTTCTGCGTTAGTGTTTGGTTTAATGTTATATTTTACATGACAACAAAATTAGAACAATTATTTTTACAAAAATGTCAAGTTGCTGAAAATTGACAAATAATTCTACTTACATTGAATGGCACCCAACAGCCAAGAAAAAAGATGGTGATGCACGACAAGAACCACACCATTTTAATTTCCATTTCGATTTTAAGCTTGGGCGGTAGCACCAATGGTGGAGGTGTCGAGGGTGTGATTTTTTTAATGGACGAAGACGGCGAACTATTGATCTTGCGCTGTCTGCGCATGTGTAGAAGAGTCGAAGCGACTACCACATTGCAGACGACCATTATGGCGATGAGGATCAAATTGAGGAAGCCAAATAATACAGCGTAAACAGAAATGGATGCGTTCGGTTTGCGGTGAAATTTCAAGAAACACCAGGTACACGGAAATTGCAATGAGTAGCGTCCAAAACCCATGAGCGGGAAACTACAAAAGATCATCACAATTAGCCAACACATAAGAATGGTCAGCTTGGCTTTGCGTGCTGTTACTAACCTGTGGACGAGAAAAATACAGAATTCTTCTTAGAAAAATTGTATACAAATATTTAGGAATCATTAATTATAGTTAACATTAAGTTTACTGAAAACATGTTCTTCATTACTAATGAATAAATTAGAGATTGCATAATAAAGGTTTGTACTACATAAAATGTCGGAATTTGTCAGAAATGTCAACCTTTATAAGTAAATGATGATTTTTCATCAAAATATGACTATAATTGTCATAAAGATTCGTTCTTTTACAAAGTTATTTCACTATGTCATCTCTGATTTGCTGTCAAGTCACATAGATTTCATTTGTCTAAATTCCATCGAATTTTAATAATAATAATAAATCGCTGAAAGATGGTTATCTTGAAATTAGAAATTGAATTATTGTTCGGTAATTAAATGATAAAATAGAAAAAAATCGGGTTTCATTCTTCAAAAGGACTTAATCAAAATAAAATAGTGTTATTATTGATGGAATTATATATTATATATATATATATATATATATATATATATATATATATATATATATATATATATGATGATGATGACACACATATATATATCCCCATGTAGTGATGACACACACACACACACACACAATCACCCACCCATATATATATATATATGGGTGGGGGTGATTGTGTGTGTCATCACTTACATCGGGATATATTTTTAATATTTACGTTCAATAAAAATATTTTTATCAAGAAATGCCTTAATTTTAATTTGTTTAACCATTATGCGTTTTTGCGTTATATTTACGTTGAAAGACTCAAAATATTAAGTTTCTGTCAATTTTTCTGATTTTTCTTCGATCACATATTTCAACAAGCATCTTCATCTTTGTTATTTCGATCATTAAATTTCAAACGTTAACCTTTTTCGGATCTTTTAGTTTTATTGAAAAGCAACAAAAATGAGGATCTCAGTACGAATAATTCATCAAGAAATGAATATTTTTTTATTTTTGTAAATTTTTAACTTTTATATTCAACACAATGAATTCAAAACTAGCAGTTAAAATAAAATAGAATTAGTAATTAAAATGGAAAAATGGCTTTGATAATAATTTACCTGTGGTAGAAGTATGTAAATTTGAGTGAAAGAAGCCGTTCTATGGAAAGAACACAGATGAGAAGAGGAGTTATCAATCCAAAAAAAACCATCAAAAATCCATGAAGCATACACAACGTGCCGGTCAGTTCAACCTTCTTGGAATAACTAAGTAATGGAATTGGGCTAGTAACTGCTTGACCAATAAGGTCAGTCCAAGCAAGTCCAGTTAGAAGCGGGTAGTAGACTGTTTTGCGAACATCTTTGGAAAGGGTAAACAGAACGAGAAGTGCAGCTAAATTTCCAACAATACCGGACAGCATCATAGCCATTGGCACGTACATGTTAATGTTAAGTTCCTGCTTCTCACACATCGATACACTGGTGCAATTGACCGCTCCTGGAACGGCCATCATGGTGTTATTTGGACAGACCATCGCATCGTAACTGTCAATATTAGTCAGTATGTGGTTGGCCATTGTTGCAGGTCAACCGCCAACAAGAAACCTGAAAAAAAGAAGAAACATTTATTTAAAACTGAAATAACAAAGAAATAAGATCAGGAATTTATGAGAAGAGTGTATCTGTTTGTTTAGTCTTTAGTATAGTATGTGGCGATAAAAAAGGTGACTATATTCCAGGAAGTTGCTTTGCATATCTCTACTTTACACTTGCACAAGGTAAAACACTTGTCAATCTACTCTCAGCAGGTTAATGGTTCACAAGAATACAAACAATCGCTTCAGCTCTCATGCTTTCTAGTCCCGATATTTTTCCCACTTTTCAATTTCTTCGAACTTTATTGAAACAATATCATTCGCTGATAAACTTTCTTCTTTATGATTACTAACTCTGCTCTTCTCGTCTGTATTTGGTAATCCGTTTGAAGTTCAATCTCATAGAATTTTGTGTAGAGATTCTGTAGGACAGTTTTTGCTTTACTCATATACCATAGGTATGTATGATCAAACAACAGGTTTTGCAGAATTCTCAGTGGATAATCATTACTACCCAGTCATGTAGAATTTTTTTTCTTCCGAGCCAAATGACTACATTTGCTTTTTATCATTGCTTTCATCTTTGTTTATTATTTCAGGCAGAACAGCGATGTTCTGCTACCTTGCCGGATTCTTTAAGGAAAAACGTCATATTTTAATTCATTAATCCATCTTTCTCCCACTAATTGCATATTTCCTATATTTAAAGCATTATTACCATTAGAAATTTAAAGATATACTTCTCATATTAAATACTTTGATAAATATCTTAATAGACTTGTTTTCCGCATATTTATCTCATTCAGTATATAGTTCATGAAGTGAGAACAAGGCTTGACCTTTATAGAGTGCCGTCTTCCTTGCTCTTGGGATTGGGTAAGGAATGTATAGATTGGTGGTAAATATTCTGCTTACATATTATTATTATTATTATACAGTTCAGCTCTAGGGCAGGCGAAACAATTGTTTATATTGAGAAGAAGTGTACAGACTTTTGATGACCTAAAATAGGCAGTGTGCTCGTAATTTTGACTTGATTAAAAAAAGGTACTCGATCATCGAAAAATAGGATATTCACCTGAATTATTATTTATGACAAAAGATTTTTATAATTTTTGGAACTTTCTGTTTCTTAGCATTTGAAGCTTTTAGTCAGAATGTATTTGGTTTTGTGGGTGGGGGTAAACAACAGTAAATCTCGACCGTCAACTGATGTCAAGTCTCAAAGCTAAGTAAAAACGCAAAATGTTGATTTTCAAAGCAGGTAGGCTACACAATCTTCCTACCGTCATTCCTCCCTTATTATGCTTTACTAAGAAAATGTTTGTCAATATCGATTTCAACATTTTAGGAAATCTCCCAAATATCAAGCAGTTTTCTATCTTTGTCAACAGGCAATGATTGACATCAAATACCAGATTTGTATCAGGAGGTTGAAATTTGATATCAGATTGATTCATTGTCAAATCGGACATATTTAATGTTTTGTGTGTAGAGTAATATCACTTGAATTGCTTTATCTTGTAAACATGTTCGTCAACAGGTAATAGTTGACATCAAATCCCAGGTTTGTATCACGAGATTGAAATTTAATCACTTGAATTGCTTTATCTTGCAAACATGTTCGTCTAAGATTTTGACTTCTTTTTTACAGCAAGTGTCCTTTTATATACGTGGATAATTTTATTGCCAGTTCAAGGCAAATGAAGCACTATCATACAATCTCTCCGGCTGTTCCTTTTTGCATTATTAAAAAAAAAGCAAAATAAAATGCTGTAATGTGACGTTGCTGTTGAGGTGGACTTGTTATTTTCAAAGGTGAAAATTGATCCGGATGATTTAGCAAAAAAAAAAAAAGGAAATATTTTAAAAGATTTTCTTTTTGGTAATGGAGACTCAGCGACCCATTTTAAAAGCAAATAACTTACTGTTAAACGTGGTTAACATATAACTATAAGAACTGAAACTTTATCATTTTCAAAATTATTTCATAAAAATCAATTTTCAAAAATGAAAAGAAATCAATGTTCCAAGGCTTTAAAAAATAAAGAGAACGATTTTCTCCAGTATTTGTCGATCGAATTTGTTAATGAATGAGAATCCTAAAAAGAAAAAAATAATACAAACAAATCAAACTTTGTAATCGTTGTATTTACTTCAACGCCCTTGAAACATATCCTTGTTAACCGGAAAAACCTGAAAACGCTTTTGTTTACCAAGTGAAACTTTTCAAATTGAAAAATTCAACTTGGTCATCAAAGCTATGGCGACATACTTCTGTTATCTGCGATATATATATATATATATATATATATATATATATGTGTGTGTGTGTGTGTGTGTGTGTGTATAATAGACTTTCCCGTCGGTTTCGACGTATGAGGATCTGACAGCTTAGTTGATTCAGTTATGAAATGTTGTGCGATAATCTTAAGTGGCACTTAAGACCCGCTAGTGATTTACAAAGGAGGCCACATATGGACCAAGAGTGAGGATTGGGAGATGAGATCATTGTTAGATTGGCTGACCTTTTAGATCTTGCTCTCGCTTCTTGAAGATGATTCAGACAAGCATATTGAAAACTGCTGAGTCCACTAAAACACGTTGATCTCTATTCTATCCGCTCCAAGGCCAAGCGCTCACAGGTGTTATGTGGTATATTGACAGCTGACACGTTGCTTTTCAGCTTGTCATTGTATCTTAGCCATGGGTGTTCTACAATCCTGTAGCCCTGATCTAACTGGCTCTACATTAAGATCTTGGGTATTCTGTCATCAGACATTCTCAAGACATGACCAGTCCACCGTAACTGAGACTATGAGAAAAGTCTAGATTCTTCCAATATTACACCTGTTGAACAGGTCTACGTTAGATGTCCTATCTTGAAGGTTAACTCCACAGATTGCACGCAGACAGGATTTATGGAAAGCATCCAGCTGGCGTATATGGTACCTGTATGGAGTCCACAACTCTGAAGCGTACAAAAGAATGGCAAGTACAACAGTAAGTAAACCCCAATTTTCGTATCCAGTCGAATACCCCGCTAATTCCACAAGCGATAGTGAAGTTTGCCGAAAGCACTGGCAGCCTTAGCAATCAAATGCATGATTTCATAATCTAAAGTTCCATTGTAGTTGACTTTGCTACCAAGATAGGTGAAAGACTTTACATAGTTCAGGGCTTTGTCTTCTACTTTCAATGGTCTTTCTTTGTAGACTGGTGGTTTTTGTTTCTCACCACAGAATTGCTTCGGAGTAGGACAAGGTTGGTGCACTACTTCAGTTTTCTTTATGCTAAGTGTAAGACATGCTGCAGATTTATTAGATGTTGGGCCTCCTCAAAGGATGTCGCTACAAGAGTAGCATCATCAGCAAACGACAAATCACGAATAATTTGCGTACGAAGGTGGGTCTTGGCTTTGAGGCGCTGATGATTGAAGAGACCACCAGTTGTTCGAAACTGAAATTGACGCCATTCTCCGCGTCTGCAAATGCATATTTCAGCATCACCGAGAAGAAAGGAGCAAAAAGGACAGGGGCCATGACACAACCTTGCTGGTGCCATTTGTGACATCAAAGGATTCTGACATTATACCATCAGACACGATATTAGCTTTCATTCCTTCATGAAAGGAGATGATGACTTTTGACATGTTTTCAGGAATGCTGATTTTCTTCAAGACTTGCCAAAGAGCCTCTCGATTCACAGAGTCAAAGACCTTCGTCAAGTCCACAAACACCATGTACAATCCCTCGTGAACCTTCTCTTTGATGAAGAGAAAATATCATGTCAATGGTGCCACGACCCGACCGAAAACCACACTGCATTTCAGGATAGGTGTCAACAAGGTGTATAATGATTCTGTTTCGAATCAGTCTAGCTAGGATTTTGCCTGCAATTGAAAGTAGTGATATCTCCCGATGATTATCACAGACACACCTGGAACCCTTGTTTTTGTAGAGGTATTTGATAGAGGCGTCTTTATAATCCCGAGGGACACAGCCTACCTTCCAAATCTCCACGAAAAAGAGATGTAACTTTTTTACCAACTTTTGGCCACCATGTTTATACACTTCGGGTGGAATAGGATCCTTAGAAGTAGGTGATTTGCCCAGATGAGATTTGTTTGATGGCGTCAATTACCTCTTGATAAGTAGGTTCAAAAGACAACTCCGGAATTTCAGGATTTTGCTCAATTGATGTGATGCCTTCTTCATCAATAAGTGAAGTGGTGTTTAACACAGTTTCGAAATGATCTTTCCAGCGATCTAAAATGTCTGACTTATCCGTCAAGAGAGTTTCACAATCTGCTGTGGAGATTGGAGCAACACCACTTTTCTGAGGTGCGAAAATGCTCTTGAGGCCAGCATAGAAAGCCTTTAGATTCTTTCCATCTGAAGATTCTTGGAGTTCAGTGTCCTTTTCAGACCACTAACGCTCTTTCATGACCCTGAGAGCTCGGTGAACCTGACTTTTGCACTTCTTGTAAGCGATCTTCTTATCGGATGAGTTCTTATCCTCAATCCAGGCTTCATGAGAAGAGTGCAATTGATCTATAATTGATCGAAGATGATTCGATATCATTGGTAATGTTTACAGAATCAAGTGCAGCATCAAGTTTGTCAGAGAGCTCA